ACACACACACACACACACAGCCACATTTCAAAACTCATGAAGTCTTATCAAATGTTTTATCTTCTCTTTCATACACCTCTGCACCCACTTTTACCTGAAGTTCTGTTTGTAGGTTTAACTTTTCTTTCTTGTTTTCTCTAGCAAGCTTGGACAGTAGACCCTGAACACCTTCGAGGATCATATGTAATATAATAAATCTTTTGCCTTTGAAGCTCTTAGGCAGCTTTAGTTTTTCTTCCTAGTAATGTCATCCCTTCTTCTCTGCATTTTATGTGATGCAATGAAGCTCTTTCGGGGAGCCATCGAAGCTCTATAAATAGTGTGATATTTCATCCTGTGACTTTGAATGTAATATTTTTCTTCATTAAACAGGTAAGGAGTCTGAGTCATAGACATGAAACCCTTTCCCAAGGGCAGATAGATAAGACTCAAGTGCAGGTTCCTCAAGGTCAAAGCCTGTACTTTTTTTTTTTTATCAGTAAATGCATTTTTTTTTTTTGTCCTCCCTTCCCTCCCTCCCTCCCCCCTCTCTCCCCTCTTTAAATACAGGGTCTCACTATGTCACCGTGGCTGGTCTGGAACTCTGTGTAGTCCAGGATGGCCTTGGAATCACAGAGCTCTTCCTGCCTTTGCCTCCTGATTGCTGAGATTAAAGGTGTGCACAACCACACCTGGCTCAAACTGCCTTTCTTAAATCACCTTCTGTTTGCAGGGGAAGTCTTTCAACTCCATTTTATAGTTCTTACTTATGTTATATTAATTCCTATTCATAGACTCAATTATTTTTGTAACCTTTATTTATATTTCCTGTCATCCAGACCCTTTTGACACCAATGTAATTTTGTGTAGGATGCTCCTTTCCCTTTTGGCTTTCTACCCTGGAAATTATTTTGCAGCATGGTGGGAATACAGAATTTAACCTTTCCCTCACGTGTTTGCTTGTCTTTGCTTTGTCACCAATAACATGCAGAGACAATAAGCCATAAAACATTTATGTTGCCTCTCTCAGTGTACAGCGAAGTTGATTGTGCACTATCTTGATTCACAAAACAAACCACAAGGCTTGCTCTGTCGAGATAGATACCTCTTCCTTCATGCAAAGCAAACCCGGCAGGCAGCCTGCTGCATGAACACTTCCTGTTAGTGGGAGGATCTTCCAAAGCCTTGTGGAGCTACCATTCCTTTTGGGTATTTCTCTCCCATGTCCCCACCCCCAACCACAGCTCTATTGTTTTCTTTTTCACCATTCTAAAATATATTATGAGTATAAAGATATCTGGACTATCTAGAAAATATAAAAGACTTTTTCTTTACAAATAGTACCCACAGTGTTTTCTCCTAAACAGCACTATAATGAGAAGTTTGCATATATGTTTCCAAATATATTTGTTCTTAGACTATGAAGAACTTTACAGAAAGGTATCCATTAGCCATGCTACTTTATTATTATTATCATCTTGATATTGTGCTTTGGACATGTTTACATGTGAAAATATTACTATCCCAATTGTTTTGCGGAGGGGTGAGCTGTATTTATTTGATCAGTATTCTTCTGGAGGTCAGCCCCAACCTCTTGTCCTTTGCTCATCTGTCTCCTCCTTCCTACTGTCTGCTTAGTCTCCTCCACCGTGTGCCCCCTTCCCCTTCTTACCTTTCACCATCTGTCTTCTTCCTTCTTCCTGCTCCTCTTCTAGTCTTCTTCCTCTGAGTCCTCCCTTCCTGTTCATTTTCCCTCGTCACTTGTGTTCTTTCTGCCTCCCCATGCTTCTCTTTCCTCTCCTTGCCCCTCTGTGCCTCCTCTCCCTGTTCATCTTCCTTGAGCCTAATTGAAGCTGTCCTCCTAGGAGGCCACTCACACCCCTTTACACTATTAGAACGTCTGCCTCCTGCTCTTCAGCTTGTGTCCTGCATCTGCTTAGTCTGCCATCTGCACTTGTAACTTCAGGGAGTGATACCCTTCCTACCCCCATTCTGATTACTCTATTTTGTCTGATTTCATTTGCATTAATGAGTCAAACAAGAGGTGCTAAGCAGGGAGATGGAGGGCACCAGGAGATTATGGCCCATGAATCAACTAAGCAGGGCTCACAGTGGTTGACGGAGACTGAAACAGCAAACACAGGGTCTGCAGGAGTCTGCACCAGGTCCTCTGCATGTATGCCATGACTGTCAGCTTGCTGTTTTGTGGGACTCTGACATGTGGGAGTAGTTGTGTCTCTGACTCTTTTGCCTGCTCTTGGGACTCTTTCTCCTCTTGTGTTGCATTGTCCAGCCTCAATGTGAGAGCTCTTGTCTTGTCCCTTGTATCTTGTTTTGCTGTCTCTTGGAGGCCTGTCCCTTTCTGAAGGTAGATGGAGGGGAGTGGATCTGGGGAAAAGGGAGGTGGGGGCCTAGGAGGAGTGGAGGGAAAGGGAAACTGGGGCTGGGAGGTATTGTATGAAAGAGTAATCTATTTCAATTAAAAAGGATTTGGGGGGTCAATCTGGTCAGAAGCATCCCCAGAACACAGCTGTAGATCTTGGGCTCACAGTGTATCTTACTAGGCCATAGCCTAGGATTAAAATATCATCATTAAGAGTAAGGTCAAAGAAGGAACCAAGGAACCAATCAAACAAGCAAGTGATAGCAACAGGCTAGCAACAGCAGGATTAAGCAAGAATTTAAAAAGAAAGATGAAGAGAGGAAAATCCACTAGCCTATTTAGCTCATTTAATATTCTCTGCTTAGTGATTTATTCCAGGTGAATTATGAAATAAATGCGATTGTTTTCCTAACTGGTGACATTGGTTTGTTCTAAACCTATTAAAAATATGTAGTCCTTAACGTTCTCAACAGTATAATTTGAGACTAAGCACTTAGAGCTCAAAGAAGGCCTCTTGAAGCCAGTGCAGTCTGACTGATTTATCAGTGTAGTCTCTTTTGTAGACTCAAAGGCATTCGTTTGTAGCTTTTCAAGGCTCCATCCTGCAGAGGTTTCCCTAAGTCATCACAAGTAACTCAGGAAATTATAAACACATTGAGTATGTAAGCCAAATGGGAAAGAGAAATAGTTGCTGTAGTTCAAGTCTGTCTTCCTAAGTGTAACTGGGCATTGTGTTTTACTGCACCCAGGTCACTCTCTCCTGGCTTTCCCCATGGCTACCTTTGTTTTACATTCAGCAGCCATTGCTTCTTGACTCATGGAACTTTTGCCAAACATCATTATTATTCATTATGGCATGCACTTAAGACACACATGCAAAATAAAGGACCTAGTCTACCAAGAAAATGAAATTCTTTCTGCAGATAAGAGAGTTCTTCTTTAAAAGTAAAGAGGACTAGAGATATATTCTGCCATTAAGTCTGTTGTTCTGAAGAGTTTTGGGGTTGGGGAGGAATTCAGGAGGAATTCTTGATGTGAATTGCTTTCAGGGCCCAGTGCAAAAGAGACTGTCTCATAGGTAGCAGTCCTTAACCACTGTTGCCAGAAGAGCTTACTTGCTTTCTTTTTACTACTGGTAAGTTCACTAGTGGTTTTGTACTTTTAATTTCTTTAGCTCTAAAGTAATGATGATAGTTTTTCTTGCCTTTTATTTGAGGTAAATTAAGTATCTAAAGTGCTTAAGACATGGTCAGGGACCTTCTCAACACCATTTGACTTTGCTGTCACTATTTCACAACTTCCACAATGAGGCTGAGGATGGTGACTAAAAGTGACCCTCTCCCTGTAGTATAATTGAAGACCTTATTTGCTCATGATGACTTTTACCTGTGTGTCTAAACAAGTATTCATATTTCCACCACCTAGGCAGTCAAAAGATGTATTCTAAGACCTATATTCAGTTATATATAGGTGTCTTGACGCCACAGTGTCTTGAGCAGTGAAGTTAGAGTAAATGTTGACATGCCCAGACTGTTGCTCTGAAAGAAGCCGCTTAAAAAAACAAAAACAAAAACAAAAACTCAGCCATAAATTTCCATTTTGCTTCTCCCATGCAGATACATCTCTCAAAGATGGAGACTGTACTTGCCTATAATACTCTGTATAGCATTTGAGAAATTGCTATTGCTAGCAGATATTCTGAGTGGACACTTACATAGAGGTGGGGAGAAGAATTAGGAACAAAATATTTTCCAGTTAGTTGCGAACCACTTTCCTACTTACAGGAAAGTTTAAATTGTATTATCTTTTTCTGTACCTTCTAGAAAGTGCTTTAGTAGGCGTTTATCATTGGGGCTTTTAAAAAATTGTCAAATTTATGGAACTTGAAATTCTCATAAAAAGTCTGCAGCAGGATTTTCTATTTTTATTGATATTTTAAAATGAAATTAGTGTTGCTGCAAAGGCAAGCCTGTGCTCATCACACATCATAGTATTTCTAAGACTAACAGAGATCGAGAGCGCCAAGAACAGTATCCAGAACAGAGTGAACTTGGTGAGTTGTTGAGGAATGGATGGCTCATTGTAAATTCACTTCAATTCATGGCAGAAGAAACTGACAGGATAATTTGCTAATGGTCACACAGTGACATGGGAAGTGGAATGAACATTTCTTGGTGTCCTCATGCTTTAATTATTGATGCAGATTTAAACTGTAATATGAAGATGACTTTAAATTTAGTCTTTGAATAACTTTAGGATGTGCAGAAATATGAAATTTCTAGGTGAGTATCTGTTACATCATCAGAAGGCAGTTGTACGAATATGTTCATAAAAGCCAAAGGATTGATTTAAGGGGCGACTAATTTAAGATGTCTGTAAGTGACTTGTTCAAGGTGTGTCAAGTGATTCATTTCCTCTATCCCTGCCATAAGCTTTTTGTTCTCCTCTGTGATCTATTGTTATGGTTTCTCATGCACCATCAATGACTTTTAGTTGGAACAATCTGTCTCCCCTAGGATATAACCCATCTCTTACTTCTCTGGATTTCTCAAATGTTCAAGCCACATTCGCTTTCACGTTGATTGATTTTTATTTTTATTTATTTATTTATTTATTTATTATTTTTGATATTTTGTAGGATGGAAGAACAGAGTCAAGTTCATGCACCTGTTTGAAGGGGCCCAAACTGTCAGAGATAGGAACAATTGCCTGGATGATCACGCTTTGTGATGCTCTCCACAACTTCATCGACGGCTTGGCGATCGGGGCATCCTGCACTTTGTCTCTTCTTCAGGGACTTAGTACTTCCATAGCCATCCTGTGTGAGGAGTTTCCTCATGAGTTAGGTGAGAGACCCTGCTCATAGGGCAAGAGGTGATGGAATCTTACACCGGGAAAACTCTGCTTCTGTGCTGAAATGAATGACCTGTTGTTGGAAAGCGTTGCTGTTGTTATTATTATTCAAGTCTCATTCCCAAACAGAAGGAGGCACAGCTCACTTGATGTTTGCTTCTTCTAGGGGACTTTGTGATCTTGCTCAATGCAGGGATGAGCACTCGACAAGCCCTGCTATTCAACTTCCTTTCTGCATGTTCCTGCTATGTTGGACTAGCTTTTGGTATTTTGGTGGGCAACAATTTTGCTCCAAACATTATATTTGCACTCGCTGGAGGCATGTTCCTCTACATTTCTCTGGCAGATATGGTAAGAAATTCAAGTATTTTATTTTGTGTTAATTTGACTTTTACAAATGAGCATCTGGGTTATGAGTTGTAGAGCAGCCTTTTGGCTTCCCACTGTCTTCAAGGCCTGAGAGGTAATCCAGAGTTTTCCCATCCCTGAATATCACACTTGTACTAACGGTAACTTGAAATGGCTGTCATTTGTTTTTTCGTATCTGATCTCATGGATAGTGATGAAGTGAACCATTTTTTACTAGAACAGGAATATTTTCCAAGGCCTCCTTTATGTGACTTCTATTATAGTAGGATTTTGTAAGGCCTTCTCTTGCATAAGAATATCACATTTAGAAGAATAAATAACTTGGTAGAGTAAATAGCATTTTTTTTTAAAAATTTTAATCAACTGAATGTAATTGACATCCATAGGCTGTTTATCCAACATCACATATGTTTTTCAGACAGACTTGGGGCATTAAAAAGACAGACTTTATTCTGGCCTCTAAAATACAGCTTGGCAGATTTAAACAGTAGATGCAATAGTATATCTGCTCACTGACCACATTTGAATTAAATTAGCAATGAATAACAGAGACTGAAGGAGTGCAATCACCAACTCAATGCAATAATTCTGTGACAGAAATATCCATCTCTCTCTCTCTCTCTCTCTTCCTCTTCTTCTTCCTTCTTCTCCTCATCTTTCTTTGTCGTTGTCTTAGCTGCCATCTTCTCCTCCTCTTCCTCCTCCTTCCTTTCTGCTTCCCAGGGAGGGTGAAGCTTTCCATAAGGGGTCTTCAGAGTCTGTCATATCCTTTGGGATAGGGCCTATCCCCCATGTGTCTAGGCTCAGGGAATATCCCTCTATGTGGAATGGACTCCTAAAGTCCATTTCTATGCTAGGGACAAATACTGAACTACTACAAGAGGCCCCATAGATTTCCGAGGTCTCCTCACTGATACCCACGTTCCTGGGGTCTGGATCCATGCTGGTTTCCCAGCTACCAGTCTGGGGAACAAGAGCTCCCCCTTGTTCAGGTCAGCTGTTTCTGTGGGTTTCACCAGCCTGGTCTGGACTGCTTTGCTCATCACTCCTCCTTCTCTGCAACTGGATTCCAGTTCAGTTCAGTGTTTAGCTGTGGGTGTCTGCTCCTACTTCCCATTAGCTGCTGGATGACGGTTATAGGATGACATATAAGTTAGTCATCAATCTCATTACAAGAGAAGGGCATTTAAGGTAGCCTCTTGACTATTGCTTAGATTGTTAGTTGGGGTCATCTTTGTAGATCTCTGGACCTTTCCCTAGTGCCTGATTTCTATTTAAACATATAATGGCTCCCTCTATTATGGCATTTCTTATCTTGCTCTCCTCTATTCTTCCCCCGACTCAACCTTCCTGCCCCATCATGTCCTCCTCATCCCTCCTCTTATCCCCTTCTCATTCTCCTAGCTCCCTCTCCCCTTCCCCTATGCTCCCAATTTGCTCAGGAGATCTTTTCCCTTTCCTCTTCTCCGGGGGACCCTCTCTCTCTCTCTCTTGTAATTTTTTTATTAGTTCAAATTAGGAGCAAGCTTTCTTTATATGTCAATCCCTTCTCCCTCGCCCTCCCCTCCTCCCATCCTTCCCCCCTCCCCCTAACCTATCCCCCACCCATCCACCCTCCACTCCCCAGGCAGGGTAGGGCCCTTGACAGGAGTTCCCCAAAGTCCACCACATCATCCTGGGCCAGGCCTAGGTCCTCCCCCATGTGTTCAGGCCAAGAGCGCCTCCCTTCACGTGGGATGGGCTCTCAAACACCCTTCTTACACCAGGGAAAAATACTAATCCACTACCAGGGGCCCCCTAGAGTGCAGAGGCCTCCTCATTGACATCCATGTTCAGATGTCTAGATCAGTCCTGTACTGGCCTCCCAGATAGCAGTCTGGGGTCCATGTGCTCCCCCTTGTACAGGCCAGCTGTTTCTGTGGGTTTCACCAGCCTGGTACTGACCCCTTTGATCTTCATTCCTCCCTCTTTGCAACTAAGTTCCAGAGTTCAGTTCAGTGTATATCTGTGGATGTCTGCCTCTGATTCCATCAGCCACTGGATAAGGGCTCTAGGATGGCATAAAAAATAGTCATCAGTCTCATTATAGGGCGCTGGAGGGATAGCTCAGCCATTAAAGGCTAGGCTCACAACCAAAAATATAATAACATTTTTTTAAAAAAATTCAAAATGATTCACAATTAATTCTTTTTAAGTTAAGTTAAAACTATTATACTAAGTTAAGAAAAATTAAAATTTAACAATATTTATTTGTTTTGTTTTGGAGATAAGGCTTCTCTTTGTAACAGCCTTGACTGTCTTGGAACTCACTTTGTAGACTAGCTGCCCTTGAACTCACAGAGATTCCTCTGCCTCCTGAGTGCTGGGATTAAAGGCATGTGCCACTGTGCCCAGCTAAAATTTGACAATATTTATTTGGATCAGTATGTATTTATGTCTGTAGGTTTATGATTCTCTCTCTCTCTCTCTCTCTCTCTCTCTCTCTCTGTGTGTGTGTGTGTGTAAATACCCTATGCATTTTCTAGGGCATCATGGACAGTTTTCTTGAAAATGATGTGTCAGAGTATGAAAGCCAAAGACTGTTTGTTTGCATTTGGAAGTTAATGTATTACATATAATTTGATAACTTCACATCTCCCCTCTCTATTATAAGCCCCAAGTTGTAAGTGTCTAGTTCGGTTCTCTGTTCAGTGAAGACCCTTGAAAAAGTGAGTATTCAGCTCTTAGAGCCGTCATAGCACTTACATTTTTCTTGCACAGAATTATGCCCCACACTGTCCTTATTCTAGATGGCCACTTCTTCCCGTGATGTTAAAAAGGCTCTATTGAAGTTATTCCCTTTATAGAAGTGATACAAGTGATGCTCTATGTGACATAGTAGTTTACTCATTTTAGAATGGTCACCCATTTTATCTCAGTAAGAACTTCTCACCAGTTGCAGCTTCCCTGTGGACTCTGGAGATCCCTAGCCAGGCTACAAGTGTGTGGCAGATCATACCAAAATGTGTTTCTAAAACTTGACTTGAAGTCCCCTTGTGTAGCCTTCGAAGTAGATGCTATTATTGAGAAAGAGAAAATTTATTTATCTGATTTTTTTTAACTGAAACACCTAGGATTTTGTGTTCACTATAATGAAATGACTATAATCTTCAGCACTAGACCAATACACAATTTATTATAAAACCTTGTTGTTCTGTAAAGATAGAGCAAGCACAATGGGCCAAACTAGAAAAGACAAGAAGTAAATCAAGTTGCATCAAAATGTTGGTTCACTCAGCTACACAAGCTTTTCTTCCCTTCAACAAGTCCTGAAAATTCAGAGATAGGTAGGGGACTTTCTTTCCTGAGAGTTCCTGTCCAGCGGAGTCAAGTTGGAATTTAAGCAAGCCAAACTGTCATACATCTAACAAGAAGGTCCCTAAGACCCACAAGCATGATGCCGTGGCACAAGGCAGCATGATTAGAAGTTCAAGGTCTTCAGTGAGTTGCAGGCCGGCCTGGGCTAAGCAAGAAACAGTAACAATCAAGTCACACAGAAGACTGACTGTTAAATAATTTAAAAGTTCTGTGAGATAAGAAGAAAAGTTTATATGTAATGGGAGATGAAGAGGACCCTACTCTAAGCCAGGAAGGACTAAAGGAAGTAACCAGGAATGTATGCCCGAGGGTGAAACCTGAAGGGTTGAATTCCTTAAAATTTGAGGTGGAGACAATAGTCTATGGGAAGAGTATGGGGGAGAATGTTTCAAACCAGGTACATCCGGTGTGGCTGTGTGGTTCCTTTGAGGGTTCTAATTGTTTTACTCTGGGTGCCCCAACATACTAGAATTCCTCATTGTGAGACCTGAACCAAACTTTGACCTGTCTGAAATGAATGCTCATTTCCCCTGTAGAAACCCCACACAAGCATTTCAGGTTTCACCACAAGATGGCGACAGCTGTTTAATAATGTATCTTCTAGTTTCCAGAGATGAACGACATGCTGAGAGAAAAAGTAACTGGAAGAAAAACGGATTTCACCTTCTTCATGATCCAGAACGCTGGGATGTTAACCGGGTTCACCGCCATCCTGCTCATCACCTTGTATGCAGGGGACATCGAATTGCAGTAGCCGGAAGTTGATGAAGGAGGAGATTGAATAGGCAACAAATAAAACATCTCCAAAGGGATTTTTTTTTTTTTTAAAGCGTATTCTATTTAGTTTTCAACTAGAGGTTAAAGAATCTAGTGACTGGCTTCAGACAATGTAAAATAGGTGAAATTTGTTGTTAAAGAAATTCTCTAAAAGGTTTTCAGTTTCAGTCTGAAGTGACAGGTGTATGGGGGCCTTTGGTAAATACCTGTTTTTCAGTGTTTTATGCATTTGAGAACATTATCATGAGGCAAAACACATACATTCACAAGCAAACACACGGACCCAGAGGTCTAGGTCATGTAAGGCTTTAAAACCGTGGTTCTGATAAGAAGATTCAAGTGCTTTCAGAGTGGTTTTCCTTCAATTAATGTGTTCTGCTTCTTTTGAGGGCAGGTACATCAAATGTGGAAGGAAATCAAAACAGCTCCGGTGCACCCACGAATGGTTCCAGAGCTTTAATGATCCCCAGAAAGACAGATTGCTCACAGCGTTTGTCAGCTTTATGTCTCAATTAACGACTTGTAGGATTCTTTTGAAAGCTATTCTAAAGTTAAAGTAACATGAATTAGGAACCATGAAAGGCTTGCTAGCCCTGTGAAACTTGGGCTTAGGGGTTTGTCTTTGAGTGTAAACTGGACAGACTCTGACAAAAAGGTCAGATTGGCTTCAGAATGACTTACGTTGTGGTTCCAACCCTCAGAAATGGCAGAGGACTATTCAAGACTGGTGAGAACTCTGTCTCACCACATTCTGGGATTGCTTTGTGATGATGAAGAATATGTTGGGTGGGAGAAAGAAATTGAATGTAATTTTTGAGCAATTTACTTTTTAGAGATAAGCATAATTATTTAGCAGGGAAAATTTCAATAAATGCAAAATAACAGCTGGTCTGTGCTGTGTCAGAGACTGACTGACAATGGAAGCATGTGTTCATTATGGGTGATTGACAGCCAGTTGGAAACGTCTTCTTCTATGTTCAGCATGTATTTTTCCATATGGTATACCTTTGGAGAAAACTCAGCATACTGTGATTATTTTTCTACCTTTTGTAAGAGACAGAGCTTGTTGGGTTTTTGAGCAGGTAGTAGACCATTAGTCTGAATTGAACATTATAATCTCAATTCACACTCCCAAGTAACTTTAAAAAAGATGGTTTGACAGCCATGAAAATTATTAATAGATACAAAGAGTTATCTCAGGAATTATGTTTTCCTATAAGCCAAAACAAGTTTTCCTTCAGCAACAATGCAAATAAATAACCATTTAATATGTTTATGTATATTTCACTCTATGTTTGACAATTGAAAAATATTATTTGACCAAACAGTAAACACCTTTGAAGCCATGTAATGTGTTAGTTATTTTTCTTTTCATGTGTCTCTGTTTTGAATGACTATCATGTACCTGGTGTTATGGGGGAGAGAGACAAAAGGAAATTGTTGTTTCAAAGATATCTAGCAAATAAATCCTACAAAGATTTATTTTTCATTTCAATAAACATAATCTATATTATTGCATATTTCCTATGTGTTTAATAATCTTGCTTTTAAAAAGTGTAGGCTGATGTTTTTTTAAAAATAATTTATTTAATTTTACTTCATGTGCATTTGTATTTTGCCTGCATGCATGCTGTGTGAAGGTGTTAGATCCCTGAAACTATAGTTATAGGCAGTTGTGAGCTACCATGTGGGTGCTGGGAATTGAACCTGTGTCCTCTGAAAGAGCAGCCAGTGTTCATAACTGCTGAGCCATCTCTCCAGCCCATTTATATGTATTTTTGAAGAGACAATTTATGGCACAATATTTTAAAAAGATAGTTTAGTGATCCTCATTGTACATGTGGATTGTCTGGAGACTTTTTGGCATGCTTTTATATGTATTTGGAGAACAAAGGACATGGGGTAGTGATGACTCAAAAGCAAAAGACCATCACTTGTTGGAGTGGAGGCAGAAGGAAAGTCATGATGGCATGATACATTGTCCTGGTTAACTATTTTCAAGTAAACACAATCTTGTCAGTTAATTTACCTTCTATGGAGGCATACAATATACTAGATGAATATTCTATACTCTTAATTTTTTTGAAGAAAGGATTTATTTCATATTATGGGTTGCAAATCATCATTGAGGAGAGTCAGGGCTGGAACTCAAGCAGGAACTGAAGCAGAAACCATGGCAGAACACTGCTTACTGGCTCTATCTCTGACTTGTTTGGCTCATTTCAGTAACAGCTCTCTAGAACAAGAGGATAAATAATGCCTGGTATTGGAAATGTAGCTGACTGTCCAGGGCTAGTGAGGTCATGGATATTGGAGGGGAGCCTACAACCACTACTTACTAAGCCAGCATTATCATCAGAATTTAGAGATGCTACCAGGGTAAATCAAAAAACTTTACTGTATAATATATCAGAATACATACACAGATTCTCATATGTATTTGTATAAATGTATTTCTCATTGTTGAACTTTAAAGAATGTGTACTAACAGCTGGTATTTATAAGGTACTGTAGCAGACCCACTTACCATGGTAAAGCTGTGTCACAAAACACCTTGGGAAACTGAGGTTCACAGAGTAGGTCATTCTACTACAGAGGCGCTGATAGATGACCAGCTAATATTGTCATGGTTTCAGGGTGTGGTTTCCCATTATAGTGGCTGGAACAGCAAATTCATGCGGCAAAGGCATAGATTCCCAAGTCCAGTTGTGGGTAAAGTGCAAACATATTTCAGTCTTAAATAGTCCCTATGAAGTATCCATCATTTCATTTTTACCTGATTGAAGATACCTAATATTAGTGACAATCAGAAGTCTCCAGAGCTGTCTCCCCCTTCTAATATTTATCTAAATCTCTTTAATGAAAATGATTTCTTTTCCTTACCCATACTGGTTAAGATGTGGGACTGCACCTTGGCTCAGTCCTGTTGAGGATAATTGATGTTGGCTTAGCTTCCAGCTGCTCTTCTGTCCTGGCTTCTTACTGCAGCAGCAGTGGGGTGTAGCCAACTTTTGAGCTCAGTGTTGGTCATCTCTGGAGGCTACGTATGGTCATAATGATTTCTAGATGCTCAGTGAGACCCTAGACCTTGCTGAGTTGCTCTGGCTTTCCACATTTAAATGCCTGTCTCTCCTTGCTCTGCTTGGCATTATCTTCCTTTAGGTCTCTCTTTGATTTTTACCAGAAGGCTACAGTGATCTTCAGACCATTTCTGCATTTACTTAAGATCTCTTGTAGCATAAGGGGTTCTCAAATGGATCCTCTTGGCTCCGTTTCCACAGATCATTCGTTGTCTTCCACACCATGTGTTTCAATCCCTGTACTTGGTTGCTTTTCTGTCAGTTTCCTTTCTGTACTAAGGATGCAAGACACATTTTCCTTAGGACCATTTGGCTTCCTAGTTGAAAACTCTAACTTTTCTGTGGTTCCAGAGCCAGAGATTCTGCAATAAAATCTAAAGTCAGTGAAAAAAAAAAAACTGGAAACTTCAAATATCATCCCATTAATTAAAAGCCACATTTCCTCCCACAGTATTTTAGGATTTTCAGATAGCATTCCTCAGGTATTGGGAATGACATGGCATTGTGGACATGGCTTTTTGATGTAGTAAGAAAATGATAGTGTCATGGTATGGAGGATTCAAAACTAGGTTTTAAGGGTAAGAGCCTGTTTTTTTTTTTTTTTTTTTTTTTTTTTTTTTTTTTTTTTTTTAGTTTTATGGAAGAGCTGTACACTGCAACATGGTGTAGCACAAATAATAACCCAGAGTCAGATATTGGGGTTAAAGCTGAAGATCAGAGAAGCAAAGCAGCCAAGCTACCAGAGAGCTCTTACTTTTACCATGGCTGGGGGAGATCCTGCCCTCAGTGTGGCTGGAGACTAATTGCCAAGACTGAATGCCAGCTCTGAGACCCTGCTCCTGTCTTATATACCTCTCTAGGGCTGGTATTAAAGGCATGCACCACCACTGCTCAGAATCTATGATTAACTAGTATGGTTGCTGGGATTAAAGGTGTGTACTACCACCATCTGGCCTCTACGGTTGTAATTAGCTCTGTATTCTGATCTCAAGTCAAGCTTTATTAGATCATAAATAATTTGTCACCACAACATGGGGCTGGCACAACAGTCTTAGAAACTCAGACTCTTTCCATTTGTCTGCTCTTCTGCGTTTAGCCTGTGGTTCCCACTTCCAAGAGGCTTTACATCATCTTAAGACGGTTCCTAGAGATCTGGCTTTGAACTTCAACTCCACCTAGCAGGAAAGAGGGCTGGATAGAAAGGCAAACAGTTCCTGCTCAGCTCCTTCTTCACCCTTTTTTGAGCAATACTCGTTAGAAGTAAGATCCAATGGCATTTATTTATATCTACTGATTAGAACAAGTCTCATGTATAGACCAGCCTTTAGCTAGGCAATATTGCATTCAGCTGGATCCATTCCTACAGGGGACCAAAAATAATCAAGAATTATCACTAAGAAAAGCCAAGAATGGCTATGTGCGTTGGCCACCCTTCTGATCTAAACAGGTTTGCACCCATTTAGTTGGTTCTGAATGTGCGTGTGGACCAGAAGCTGATGTTCAATGTCTTTCTCAGGCCTCTCCAATTCCACTCTTTTTGGGGACAGAGTTATTCACTAAACCTAGAGTTCACCAGTTCAGCTAGATTGTGTGGCTAGCAAGCCACAGAGATCCTTCTGTCTCCACATCTCCAGATCTGAGGTTATAGGCATGGGTCTCCATCCCTGGCTTTTCCTGTGGGTGCTGGGGACCTGACCTCAGGCACTCATGTTTATTCAGTAAGCACTTTACTTGTCTTCAGTCAACAACCAGTATCATAGTTGGTCTTATCCTTTTTATTAGCATGCATTAACTATGTGGAAGAATGCGTTTTATTTTGCTATTTTCATATATATATATATATATTATACACACACATATTTCATATACATACTTTTTGCACATATACATAATGCATTTTGCCATTTTCACCTACAGATTGTATTTTGCCTTTTGCACACACTAGTGCATTTTTGCCATTTTCACAGGAATAATAATTTGCAATATTTACATACACAATATATTTTTCTGTTTCCACACACAAAGCATTTTGATACCCTCGTGATGTATTTTCACACACACACACACACACACACACACACACAGTGTACTCTGATCACACCCCCACTATTCCCTTCTCATTGCTGGTAACCCGGTTCCTTCACTTCCACCTTGTTCTTCCTCTGCTTTTACATCTTGTCTTTTGGTGACCCAATAAGTTTAACTAGTGTTGCCCTCAGGAGCACGAGTGAGGGCCTAGTTATGGAAGCAGAGGCATCTTCCTGATGGTGACACCACTGATGGAACCCTCTTGCCTTCCCAGCAGCCAGCAGGAGAACCTCAGCGAAGAGGAAGAGAGCCTTCCCTACAGACCCCTCCTTCTCCCACGGCAGGAGACTGACAGTTAGAGCCAGTATTATTTGTACACAGATGTACTCATTGTTTTTCCTGTCTCAGTCTGTTATGAGTGGCATTTATTTATCTTAAAATTTTTTGTTTTTCATTTTTTTTGTTTTTCATATGATAGTGTAAAATTTAAAAAAACATAAAAAATTGTTTATGCATTAAAGCAATCTAATTAGAAGATTCATGTCTAGGACTATGAAATTAAGTGATATTAGAAGAAATTAGCAATATATTTTAGAAATTATGTGTTTTCTTTTATCTGTGTGCCAGTTATTTATAGACATTCTGTATAAGGAAAGTTTGGTCTAAAATGCTACTTGTTATATGATTTTTGCAGAAAACAATTTGAAAATATTTTATTAGAATAAATAAATAAAATTGTGGGTAATTGAGTTGTCTACACAACAAATCTCTATTTCATATGCTTTTGTTTGACTAGAGCTCTGTCTCCAGCACAACGTAGTTATATGATTTTACACTTCCCAGAGTCCTGGGTCAGAATGATCTTCATGTCATCCCAAGTTTCAACCAGAAGGCCTAGACAATCCTATCCTCAAAGCAGGTTTCAAAGGCCAATAATAAATAAAATTAAAGTTGAATTTTATTTACTCCAAATAGGCACTTCAAAAACCAGTGCCTACAGTAACCCATTGAAATGGGTCCTGTTTTAAATGCTAGGCCAGGATGTAGCTGAGAAGTCACAGAAGGATTTCATACGCTCAGGACACATTTGGGCAGAGCATGACAGGAGTCCTGCCACCCACATGTAGGGGAAGCTGTAGCCACGCCTTCTTAGGGGCTGGCTACAGGTGTGCCTGACCACACTTGTGAGGGCGTGGTCAGAGTGACATAGTGTGACTGCATTTGCTCTTTCGGTTTCACTTTGGTACTTGCTGTACAG